ACTCTTCCTGGGTGCTTCCCTGTAAGACTCTCCTTGGATCCGTCCTGGGATACCCTGATTACCTCTCAGCACCTACTGTTTACTGCACACAAGAAGTAAAGCTGAAAGAGGGCATTGAAAGTGGCTGTGGTAGAGGCACGCAGGCCTGGGGTGTGCGTGACCCTCCGGAATGGGGCCAACTGGGGCTCTAACAGGCAGAATGGAGAAAAATGACAGTTTTGCCACAGGCTCAGACCACAGATGAAGGCATGTTTTTCGTATATGTGGAGGGAGGAAAGAATTACCGTTCTCCGTGGTTGCGTCATCACGGAGTATGAAAGATGGCGTTGTAATGACACTACATCCAGAAAACAACTTTTTATTCACTTCCTGGTGTAGTTCAGCCAAGAAAAATTCCAGGTATTAAGCGAGCTGATGCATCCAGTCAAATATTTATATCCATTTCATTGTTACTGTGGAGTCAATACTGGTGTGATTTGCCTTGTAAAGTGAGTGTGCGTAAGAATCTAAAATTGGCAAGACAAAATGGGTTTTATTTTTTATTTATTTATTTATTTTTTAAATTTATTTTTATTTATTTGATAGACAGAGATCACAAGTAGGTAGAGAGGCAGGCAGAGAGAGAGGAGGGGAAGCAGGCTCTCTGACAAGCAGAGAGCCCGATGCGGGGCTCGATCCCAGGACCCTGGGATCACGACCTGAGCCGAAGGCAGAGGCTTTAACCCACTGAGCCACCCAGGCACCCCGACAAAAAGGGTTTTAAAAAAATTACCACGGAGTTCCTCTCTACAAATGTCGTAAAATTACTCTGTCTTTGATTTACAGAAACTGCTTGCTTATACGTATATTGGGCAGAGAAAATACATCATTTATAGATTTGATTATACAAAATACAAATGTAATATATGTATAGGAAATATATAATGGAATTTATTCTTGAGAATGATGAGATAGATGAGATATAATCATACTTCTAAGAATTTAATCTGCCAGATAAATTGTAATTCTTGTAAAGGTTTAAATATTTATATTTTGAGCAAACATGTTAATGCTGATGCATAATCAATACACTCAGAATCAAGGAAATGCATGGGGTTAATCAGTATATTTGATCCATGCTGCTAATGTGCTTGAAATGTTGGTGCATAGAAATTTTGCCATTTCTGGAAATGGAGTAAAAAAATACTATTAGCTATTAACTATTGGCTTTCATTCAGCATGCAACTGTCCATGAAAATATATAGTGTTTTTTATGTGTTCACTTCAATGACATCACAGTAGTATGTATCAACTCTTCAACTCCCTTTAGTCCCTCAACAGTTTGTTTTATCTGCTGTGTATTATTCTATCTTATATCTATAACTAAGTTTATCTCTTTCCCTACAATGGACTTTTAGGTTGTTTCCAATGTTTCAGTGCTAGAATTCTTTAGTGAATGTTCTTGTGATTCGTGTCCTTGAGCACATATGACATATAATCTAGAAGTGAAGTTGAATGGTATACAAATACCATTATTAGATATTGCTAGATTGCTCTCTGAAATAGTTGTACCACAGGGTATTGCCTCTAGTATTGTAGGAAAATTCTTGTTTCACATTTTTCCCAATGGCTGAATGTGAAAGTTTTAAATTTGTCTAACCTGAAAAGTGTGAAATTTCATTGTTTTAATATTTATTGGTATAGATCGTAGTATTGCTACAGACAGAGACTGTGCTTCTTTTCTTATTTTTCTTAGTTACTGGATTTTCTTTTTCTATGAACTGTACAATTATATACTACACCAGTTTTTCTACTGTGTTGTCTCTTTTTAAAAAATTCCTTTTAGGAGTGCCTGGGTGGCTCAGTGGGTTAAGCATCTGTCTCCAGCTCAGGGCCTGATCCCAGGGTTCTGGGATTGAGCCCCGCACTGGGTGCCCTGCTCAGCAGGGAGCCTACTTCTCCCTCTGCTGCTCCCCTTGCCTGTGCTCTTTTTCTCTCTCTCTCTGTCAAAGAAATAAATAAAACCTTTAAGAAGTATGTAAAGATTTATTTATTTATTTTGAGAGAGAGAGAAAGAGCGCGCCGGTGCAGGGGTGGAGTAGAGGGAGAGGGACAGAATTCCAAGCAGAGCCCCCCTCTGAGCGCAGAGCCCCCCTCTGAGCACAGAGCCCAAGGCAGGGCTTGACCCCATGGCCACTGAGACCAGGCAAGACCTGAGCCAAAATCAAGAGTGGGCACCTAACCAATAGAGCCACTCAGGTGCCCCTGTCTTTTTTTTTTTTTTTTTTTTTTAATTGATTACAGGTCTCTATGTAATTCAAACACTCTTCTTGGTTATATACTTTGCAAATATTTTCTCCAGGTCTGTGGCTTGTATTTCTTTTTTTAAGATTTTATTTTTATTTATTTGACAGAGTGAGATGCAGTGAGAGAGAGGACACAAGCTGGGGTAGTGGGAGAGGGAGAAGCAGGATCCCCGCTGAGCAAGGAGCCTGATGTGGGGCTCAATTCCAGGACCCTGAAAACAGGACCTGAGCCGAAGGCAGACGCTTAACTGACTGAGCCACCCAGGCGTCCCTCTGGCTTGTATTTTAATTTTATTTTGTGATAATCTTTTAATTGTGGCATAAGAAATATTATTAATATTTTCCCCTTAAGGTTTTTAATGTCCTTTTCTTTTTGTCTTTTCTAAGAAACCCTCCCTAGTCTGGTATCCTCAGAAAGTTTTAAAGCTTGCTTTAGGTCATTAATCCACGTAAAACTATGTTGTATATTCTAAGTAGCATCAATTAATTTTTTCCATATGGATTTTTAATGGTACTAACATTGGTTATTGAATAATCTGTACTTTCATCTCTAATTTGTGTGTTTGGGTCTGTTTGAGGTCGTTGTTGTTGTTGTTGTTGTTTTTTCCATTGTTCTATTGACTTATTTCTGTACTCATAGAAAACATGCATTTCTCTTTCTCTGTGAATTCATTAAATAGCCCCTCGGAATGTCACCATGCCTGCTATAGTTTCCGTCAGATAAGCAATAGTCTGTGGACATCGATTTGGCCCCTGATATTGAATCAGCGAGCTGGTCTTTAGTGCCGTCTACCAAACGATGCCAGCTCTCTGCTTCTGGAGAATGGTGTGATTGTGTTTCCTACTCTTTTTGTATTTAGGCCCAAACATATGACTTATTTGCAATGGTTTCATTCTTGTATAGAAACTTTAACTAGAAGCTGCAGGAACCAGCCTGTGGTTGGCCACATATTTCACTCCTGCCTCAGCAAACGTGGAAGCATGGAGATAGAAATGCCCTGGTAGAGCTAGAGACAGACCTAGAGCAGAGCCCACGTGACCTTCCATGGACATGCAGCTAAGGGGAAAACAGATCTCTGTTGTCTTAAACCATGGAGATTTTTAACATTGTTCATTAATATAACCTGGCATATCCTAACTGATATAGTTAATATTGTGTATTTCCAACTTGATGATTGGCAAAATGGTAAACAAGCACCTTGCCTTTGTTAGAGGGTAATGATTGTGCTTTAGTGCCTCTCTTTCTACTTCCTTTCCCCTCTTCCTTCCGATTGTATCACCCTCAGTAGACTCATACACCTCAGTATCCATGACCCGTCAAGCCAGTCCATGACCTGTCATGCCAACTGGAGCCAATTTTTGGTGGCCTGTATTTCCTCCCCTCAGCCTGCAGCTCCCCCAAGCCCACGTTTCCCCTCTTTGAGTGTCTTCATTTTTAAAGATGATACCTAGAAAGATAAAATGTTTTACCTAAAATCTTAAATGATAAAGATCAACTTTGTGACTCTAGAGTGAGGCGTCATAAAGTTTTCTCAACTTCTCAACTTTCTCAACTTCCTCATATGATCACATTAGTGTCTACAGACTTTATCTACATCTTAGACTGGTTCCAATGTTAAGATCCATAATTCTTGGGTGCCTGGGTGGCTCAGTCAGTGAAGCACCCAACTCTTGACTTCAGCTCAGGTCATGATCTCAGGTTCCTGGGATTGAGCCTCGCATCAGCAGAGGGCTCCTTGCTCAGCAGAGAGCCTACTTATCCCTCTACCTGCCACTCCCCTTGCTTATGCTCTCTCTCTTTCTGTCAAATAAATAAATAAAATCTCAAAAATAAAATAAAATCCATAATTCTTTGTCGGGATTAAACATATTCACAAAAATGTGTTCAATATCTGAGTTTTATATATCTGGAATGTTCAGGATGGAAGGGTAAAGATGAGAGGTGGGGGGAGGCACTAGGAAGATACTTCCCAAGTGGAAACATCTTTTTCACATCATCTCTCCATCAAGGACAATTTCCTTTATATTTGATAAGTTCCTCCTAAGCATGCAAAGATCATCTCATATTATGGTGCCATTGGGTAGTAATGGATGGAGTGGGGTGGTGGTGGTGGGGAAATTAATGCCCAGAGAACTACATCTTTAATTGTTCACACTTTAATGTGAAATGTAGGACTCCTTTGATTGGAGTGTTTGCCTTCTAGCACCTAGAAGGTGTTAGGTGAGGCGGTGAAAGTTTGATGGTGATGGTGAATAATTATAGAGCATGGAACCCAGCAGGCTAATGTGGTGGGTCCACCCCGGAGGCTTTGAACTTGACAGGAGGACACATTACCTCTCAGACAGAATAGAACTCAGATGTGAGAAGGGATGTAGTAGCAGGCATCAGCCAAATCCCTATTCTGTAATTCTTAAAAGACTCCTGGTAAGGGGACGCCTGGGTGGCTCAGTTGGTTGGACCACTGCCTTCGGCTTAGGTCGTGATCCTGGGAGTCCTGGGATCGAGTCCCGCATCGGGTTACCAGCTCCATGGGGAGTCTGCTTCTCTCTCTGACCTTCTCCTCGCTCATGCTCTCTCTCACTGTCTCTCTCTCAAATAAATAAATAAAATCTTTAAAAAAAAAAAAAAAAAGAATACTTTCTTGCCAAACTTCCTGCTCCTTAAAAAATGACTGTTGATGGGTTGATTAAAGTTTACATCTGTCTCTTTTTTAGGTGGTTCTTTGGAGCAATCAAGAGAACAGACGCAGAAAAACAACTATTATATTCAGAAAATCAGACCGGTGCCTTTCTAATCAGAGAGAGTGAAAGCCAGAAAGGAGAGTTTGCCCTTTCAGGTATGGGCATTGTTTTGTGTGATTTAAGTGTGGGTTTGAGAGTCTGTAGTAATGAACCTGCTGTGTGAGCATGGACAGGTTAATTTGAAATTTGCCTTATTTCTTATGTTCATAATAAGTGCCAAATTAAATCTGAACTACCCAAGAGTAATGCAGAAATTAGCAAGCAGTTTCTGTCTGTGATAGGACTCTCTGTAAGCAAATATGTGCGCTCTGGATATGAAATGACAACCATATGGATCAGGCTGCATTTTCTCACTTTTGCATTATCTAGGGGTCTGTCTTTCTAGGGAAATGATAAGCCCAAAGTGAAAACTACGCTGTTGTCAAAAATTGTTCTTTCCCCGATACAGTTTGACTTTTTGTGTTTCATTTGTCTTTGCCCAGTAAATAAATTAAAAAAAAAAAAAAAAAGAATTGAAATGCTGGATGCAGTTGGATTTAGTTAACTCCATGACATGTAAAATTTAGCCAAATGTAGTTTTCTAACTAAGACTAAAATATGTGTTTACTTTACATTTTCTTAGGAAGGAAGAAAGACCTGGGAATGGCCTTTAATAGTTACAGGTGCTTACATGCATGTCTCTGCCTTCAAGAATCTATGTTTCTTGGGGCACCTGGGTGGCTCAGTTGGTTAAATGTCTGGCTCTTGGATTTGGCTCAAGTCTTGATCTTGGGGTTCATGAGATGGAGCCCCTTAACCTCCTTCCTGGGTCAGACTCCATACTCAGCGGGGAGTCTGCTTGGGATTCTCTCTCTCTCTCCTTCTGCCCCTCCTCTTGCTCATGCTCTCTCTCTAAAATAAATGAATAAATGTTTGAAGAATTTGTTTCTTGGTGTATGTTGCAAGGCTACAGAATGTCCTTTCTTAAAGACCAACCAGACCATCTGTCATGTGACACTTTTTCTCTCCTTGCTCTGCTCTGACTTCTGTTTTGCCCAGGCCCATCTTGTGCTATTGTCCGCTTTAAAGTGTGCACTATGACTAGATATAAACCTTTTGGGGGAAAGGATTTTGCCTTCCTTTATCGTTATTGCCCTGCAGTAAATGTTTATTGAACACAATGCCTACGTACCTTATTGTGTCCGCCTAGCTCACTGAGCTGAGGTCAGGACAGCCTTCATGGTGCACCAGGGAAGCAAGCCCTGAGCTCAACATATCCTAGGAACTTTGATTAGATCTGAACTCAGGCCAGACTGTGTGTGTTTGGGACCCATTTTTCTTACTCACACCAGGCAGTCCCAAATATTGGGGCAGATGGGTGGGATCTGGAAAGGAGTAAGGGCAGTGGTGTTGAAGCACCTTTATTCAGAGGCTCCATCCTTCAGCCCCTGCCTCGTCCTGCACCAAGTTCATATGGTGTTCTCAGATTGTTTGGCTTCATGTCCAACCGTGTGTAGGGGATGCTGTTCTGATTACCATTTCTGGAATGTACCTCTGACCTTCCTAATCTTGCTTATGCCCAAGGTGATAATGAAACAGTATCATGACTGACAGTGATGCCCCATTAGCCTGTGACTTCATACTAGGGCACACCTATCCACACCTGGGTGACATACATGAATATTTTATTAGACCTAATAACTTTTTTCTGATCATGAAAGGAATATTAGCATTGTTATATAAATAGAGAAGCTCAAAGAAGAATAAAAAATATCACTTTCTGAAGATACATTTTTCATATCTAAATACCTTTCCTGGCAAGCTTTTTTCTGTACTTCACCTGTAAGTATATTTAAACAAACACACATTTTTTTTAAAATTTATTTATTTGATAGAGAGAGTGGGATCACAAGTAGGCAGAGAGGCAGGCAGAGAGAGAGGGGGAAGCAGGCTCCCTGCTGTGCAGAGAGCCCGATGTGGGGCTCGATCCCAGGACCCTGAGATCATGACCTGAGCTGAAGGCAGAGGCTTAACCCATTGAGCCACCCAGGTGCCCCAACAAACACACACTTGTATTCAGAAAATAAATGGAGATCATCTTGTAAAGAAAAAAATATAAATATAGATATGAGTGTGTATATATGCTATCTGTATTTATATATACATACACACATATTTGTGTGTGCACACACACACAGTGGACCTAGGCTGCATTTTTCTTATTTGTCTCTCAGTGTCCTGTGAACAATTTTGCATGTTCTTTCATATCCTTCTACATCATTATGTTTAGAAACCACATAACCTTCCATTGTATGGGAATTTCATCATTTAACCTATTTCATGTTTTATGTATTTTTTAGTTTTTTTGCTGTTATAAAGTATGATGCCATGAACATCCTTATAGATAAATATTGGAAGATTTCCATGAGAATGTTATACTCCAAGGAAGAAAAAACAAGTCTTTTGGAAATCTCTATGCTTCATGATAAGAGATAGAAGAGAATTCCCAATTTAAATGTATCCATTTGTTTATTTGACTTTCCCAATATTTATATGCAAATTCAGGTAATCATTATTTAGCTAAAAGCTAGATTAAATGTTTTAGATTAGCATTAAACATATAGAAGAAGATTTCCATGAGGAAAACAAACTAAAAGTAGAACAACTTGAGTCATATCTTTGAATGATGCCCAGGCTGCAGTGACTATTCTGAACACTTTCTAAGTAGAATATTATGGAACAAAACAGCTTTACAGGCTTAGAACAAAATTACAAGGATATTGGCTTTTATGTGCTGAGAATACTCTAGCGCTTGCTTATGGATTTAGGAAGCTTTGTAGGCCTTGCTTGGAAACCAGGATATCATTATAGATTCTTTTTGAATGAAGTCAAACAATTTAGAGTCTTTCAAACAAATTATCTGATTGCTGTGTATTCACTGGGGGACAAAGTAAATGCGGACCATTATACTCTACTGAAAGGAACATTTTCTTATTAGCCAGAAGGAGGGCTATCCAAGAGAAAAATGGAACGAAAAAGGTCTTCAATATGTCTACATTAAAACAAACACACAAACAACCGACCCCACTGCTGATGGTTGATTACCACTGAGGATCTTCCGATAGACCATGGATTGATTTCTTAGTGCAGTTGTCCCCTTAATCAGCCTGAATTGATGGTCTTCCATTTTGCTGACTGCTCTGCTGCCAAAGGAAGGCAAATAATACCCCCTTTCTAGCTCTGTCTTTCCCACACACGTTTTCCTTGGAAGTCTTGTCTTTATTCCTTCGGCAGCAACGGCTTGCAGCTGTCAGAAGAGCTTCATGACGGAGTGTGATTTATGGACGCTGGGGCGGGCTGGAGAAGTGGCAGCCCAGGGTTGGGTGGGAGCTAATTGGCTTGTTGTGATCCTTGCATGGCTGTCTGCTCTTAGGAGGTCTGAGTAGATCTGGAAAGAGAGTTAGGGCCGTGACACTTCTCTTAATGGCAAGACACTAATTAGCTGTGAATTACAGCAGCACTTTTGGATATTACATATTATATGTGGTCGCCAGAGAATCTGTCTTCATTAGATGCATGACAGGTAGTTTTAGTAGCCTTACTGTTGTTTGTCACGGATAGTCAATTGTTTTTCTGATGAAAAATATAAAATTTCAATTGCACATCAACTTGCTTGGTTATTTTTTTACTTCAGTCGAGTCCTTGAAAGGCAACCATTATTGTTATCACCATTAATATTAAGTTGATGTTTGGAGTTCTATACACATTTATATTATTGTTTAAAATACAGTTTGAAGAAAACACACTTAGAGGGCTAAAACTGAGCTGTAGGTAGGTTTTTCAGAAGAGACTCTGCATTACACATTGTCATTTTACTTTGGGCAATGCTGCATATAGAAACCTCCAGAGTAGTAGAGGGGATCCCAGATTCATCGTCAGTGAAACCCTTTCAAGAGCAAGCGATAACAGACTGAAATAGTTGAAAAATGACGACATCGAGGACCCAAAGCAAAAAAGCCCATCAGCGGTATTCAGGGAGATGCCTTAAGGAATTGACATCATTTATTTATATATTTGCTTATTTCTCCAACAAATATTCAAGTGCTTACCATGGGCCAGGCCTTTGCTCAGTGAAGGGCAGTAAAGACAACAAGGCACAGTCCCAGGACCCAGTCTTTGGGAAGATTATAACAGCTATCTAGTGAGAGCGGTGGGGACAGGGACCCATCTCTAACGAGGGGGGCAAGGAGGTTTCACAGAGGAGGAAGCATTTGTGTTCTGGCCCAATTTCTGTTGCCAGGTAGCAGTGTAGAAAGGCAAGTGCACAGGGTTTTATGTCTGTGGTGTGTGTGTGTGTTTCTGTGTGTATGTGTGTGCGTGTGTGTAGTGGGAATGGAGAAGAGGAGAGGAGAGGAGGAATGGTAGAAAATGAGCCTGGAAAAGAAAGGTGGAGCTACACTATTCAGGGCCTTGTATACCATGTGAGGAATTTGGACCTTGTTCTACAGGGGAAGTTTTAGGCAGAAAGTGACCTGGTCTGACCTTTGAGAGCATGTGGAGAAGGGACAAGGTTTATAGATGATAGTCTTCGGAGGAGTGACAGGGCAAACGACAGTGGCATCTCTCATCCCTGTTTGAAATCCTAGGTGTGTGCAAGGCGTCAGAGTTCATCATCATCCCACACAGCGGGGCAATGGGACCCAAGCTCAGGGCATTCCACTGAGGCTCTGCTCTGGCACAGGGCATGCCTAGAAGCCACACGGCCTGTCTATTGCTGTGCTTTTCTTATGGGGCAAGTGTGGGAATCGCCCGAGGACCCACAACAGCAGTTTTTGCCTTGGTGTTGAGCAGTCTGGCTTTTTATCAACTATTTGCCAGGTTATTTGGAAATCTCAGCACCTATGGGCTTTGGGCACGGTGGGAAACTGCAGCTCCTTTTTCGTCCAAGGAAACCATGGGATCTCTTGGAAGTGGAGTTCAGGTGCAGCCCCTCCATCTGATAGAGGGTGACAGTGAAACAGGCCCAGTGGGTCCTTGCCACACAATCAAGAATGAGCTCCTAGGGTTCTTCACTAGAGAATCCTGCTTATCTCCACAGATGACAGCCTGAAGCAGA